CTATAGTTTTATGTCCATGAAACAAAGGCTATATGGCAAACTTCTCATAGGAAAATATAGCAATATAGCATTCCTCCTATAACTCAAAGAATTAGCCTAGATAGCATCTGAGTAGTCTCCCTGTGATGAAAAGTTTAGTTTTTATATGCTTTACATGCTTTACCTGTTCCTTTCTTAAACTCACAATAAGGAAAATTGGATTTTAGCAAAATGTTTCCTCATCAAATATGTTTATTTATTAACATGTAGTATTTAATAGTTAAACTCAAGGTTCCTAATGCTTATTATTCCAGAGCATTTTTCTTCCTGTTTTGTTCTCTCGAAAGCATACATTGCCTTTTAGTAAATCAATTTGTTTAATTTGACTTCTATATTTGATGACATTTTTTAGGCTCACATATTTTTTTTTCTTGTGCCAAGACTTGCATTTTTCATTTCCCACAGAATCAGGACAAACTGTACATCCCCTACTGTGTCCAGAGCAGATTTGGCCAAGTGTCAACTATGTTAATTGGTATAGAGAAAACAACAGTCCTATTTTTATCTGATTAAAAGTCCCTGCAAACATTCTCCTATGAACTAAAGCTATGTCAGTACAAAGTGACTTCATTACAATATAAAGTTTGGCAGATGTGTCCCTTCAGCCTTTTCTGTCCAATGTAGAAATGTTACTGTTTCTTGGAATCTTCCAGCATCTCAATTTTTAATTCTATTTTTGGAAGTTTAGAATTTGGTACTGAGAACTCCTTCTGGATTGCCGATTAAATACAAATATCTTTGTGTGAAAGATTTACTGAACAACTTCTAGAACCTTATTTCAAAGATAGTCTGAAATATTTTATTCAACTGTTAACATGTCTACATCTTTAAAAATGCCCAGGATGAGCAGATTATATAATATAATTGCTTCAGTTAATTGGGGTGTGGGAGGTGTAGGTGTAAAAGAGTAAAAGGTAATGAACTTTGACAAATGTATGAGAGCAATAAAGGGTACTAGGAAAAAGTTCATTTTATCAGAAGGTGACAACATATTGTTCAACATTGTATGTTCCCCTTTAATGTTGAAAATTCCCCAGGACTGTCTTTAGCTCATTCCCATACACCTTCATACATTCTATGATTTTGTCAATTACTTGTACACGTTTTCCCTTCCTGTTTTATAGATGGAGAGCGGAGAAGGGTTACTCAGCTTCATGCTTGCTACGTGAGCTGTCTACCACTTGAGGCATGCTATACGCCTAGCTCTATATACTCGTATTTCTCTTTGCCTGGAACTCCAGCTTACTGAAAGCCAGATCAGTGTCCTTTGCTATTATGGACAGCTCCATTTGAGTATCTCATGAACAACTTAAAAATTAATACATCTAGGATTTCTAATTTCCTTATTAGCATGTAAATAGCTTCAAAGTCACCATTTAATCCAAACAGGAACTAAAAAGCTAAAAAAAGGTGTGGGGGGGTCAACAAGTCTTAGATCAATCAAAAAAACTAAGATCACAGTACAAATCATGCCCCCCCAAATGAAAGTGACAGATACAGAGAATCATACTTACCAGAGCAGTAAAACACAGTCTGCTATGGGGATGGCCACAGATGTAGGGTATGGTTAGATAGGAAGAATAAGATCCAGTGTTCTAAGCTGGGAGCCTGTGCTTGTAATCCAAGCTACTCAGGAGGTTGAGCTCTGAGAATTGAAGTTCAAAGCCAACCCAGGCAGGAAAATTCATGAGACACTTATCTTCAATTAAACAACCAAAAGCCAAAAGTGGAGCTGCGGCTCAAGTGGTAGAGCACCAGCCTCAAGCAAATAAACTAAGGGGAGCTCCCATGTCCTGAATTCAAGCCCCAATAATGGCGTGTGCGCACACACACACACACACACACACACACACACACACGAGATCTAATGTTTTATATAGTACAGTAGGATACTTATGTTGATTAATCAATGGAATATTTCAAAGTAGCTTGTAGAGAATATTTTGATTTTGACACACGGTTTCACTATGTAGTCTAGGCTGGCCTCCTATGAGCCATCCTCCTGCATCAAACTGAGTGCTGGGATTACAGATGTTTGCCAACATGTCTGGCTTTGGAGAAGACTTGGGACTTTTTTTCCCAGCACAAAGTGGCAGATTTGCCAGTTACCCTGATCTGATTATTATTCATTGTATTCATGTATTAAAATGTCACCCTATACTCTATAAATAAATGCAATTACTATATATTTGTTAGAACTTTTTTTTAACTCTGAGGAAATCATTACCAGGTAGGGAAACATAAATTGTATACTATGGCTTGAGTATCTCTCAAAACTCATGTTGACATTTATTTCCTCTATACAGCAATGCTGGAAGGTGGGGCCTAGAAACAGGTGTTTGGGTCAAAGGGACAGATCGCTCAGGAGTGGTTTAATACCTTTCTCTTGTGAATGAGTTCTTGTTCTCAGGCACTAGCTTAGTTACTAAGAAGCAGAATTCTCTTTTCTTTCCCATGCACCTGCTTACCTCTTTTTTTTTATCATCACATTTATTGCTCAACTCAAATATCAGGAGGAAGTACATATGTACAAATAAGCATATCTATATACACGCACATAGATAAACAGTCATGTCAGTTACAATGGGGCTACATTCTTAGAATTGTGCTATAATATGGATATCATAGTATATACTTAAAGAAAGACAGCGGTCTCTAACATTACTAGGTGATATGATCACAAGGGACCACCATTATATAGGTACTCTCTTTCTGGCTGAAAATGTTACATGGGGTATAAATAAGGCAGTTAACTTGGCTGAGGAATAATGGTAAATTCTATCTCTCCTGCAGCTGGTGTGAACTGAGGCTCCGTTATAGGCTTAGTGGGGATGGTTTGGAGCTTACCCCTTGTCCATATTTCAAGGCAGAGTTGAGAAGACCTAAATGAAGACCTTCACAATGATTTCTTTTTCACATTATACTTCCCTTACTATCTAGCTCATCTAAATATCTGAGACTCTCAAATTTGGTATTCCATGCCAATAAAACAGCACAATTTCCAATTATAATATAACCTTCCCTTTATGGATGGATCTTGGAACATCCCTGAAGCTAAAGAAACATAAAACAATGGAAAGTCACCTCAAGTTGTAATTGCATAACTAAGTCATCTCCCCTTCTATATTTCATTGTTCTGAGATGTTTTATTTTAAGCCATTGTTTGAATTATACACACATATAAATATACATTTATATAAAATAATAGATATATTAAAATGAAATAGTAATTATATTAATATATTTAAGAAATTAAATACATCAACACATATATATTATCATTTTATTTAAAAGCATTTTGAAGTTTATATAATATTGTTAAATATTGCTATAATATTAATAAAATCCAGTGGCAAATACCTGTGGTCCCACTGAATTGTTAGGTGAAGTCCCCTAGATTGCTTTTTTCCATCAGGGCTGTCTGAGTAACATAGCAAGACCTTCTCCCTTTAAAGAAAAAAATAATATAGAAGCTGGGCTCTGGTGGCTCATGCTAGTAATCATAGTTACTAAATAGGTTGAGAAGTGATGATCCAGGTTACATGATGTTATATAAGATAGAATGTCCTATTGCTAGAAAACACTCAATATCTTTTATGTCATGCACAGGAAGCCAGTATGTGCTAGAACTAAATGAAGATTATAGTCAATAGCACAAAAGTGAGGTATTCATCCAATAGTAGTATTGAGACAGAGTATAATTCAGTTGACAATGCTATTTTTCTCAAATTTGGGATGTACATTGTATAAGTGAGAACTGGTAAATTAATTTATGTGATATTGAGTTTGATCATGTGGTTATAGATATTGGTAAAAAGTCAAGTTTAATTCAATAAAGTTCCTTTGGGACATTTGTATCTATCTACAAGCCTGACCCTCAGAGTAATGTGCTATTCAATCACTTCCTTTGATGTATCCCTGAGTTTATACATTAGCTAATGTGGACACCAGCCAATGGGTTTTAGAGGTAATGAGGTGTTTAAGGATACAGAAACCTAACAATACCTTAAGACACATATATTAGAATAAAGGTGAAAGAAGAATGGGTGGGGTGACAAAGGGACCATGAAAGGTAAAACAACTTGTCAAGGATCACAGAAAAGTTAAGAAACAAGGGTCTGTCTCCTTTTTACAGAAACTGCCTGTAGCCAGGTTTGGCAGAGGTCGATGGGATTGCACAAGGTGAGCTGTTAATAATAACCATACGTGTGCATGGTGATGTGGGAGGGGAAATCTCAGCAGCCACTGAGTCCTTTGGGGAGGCCTTATGTGAGGAAGAGTTCAGGTAAGGGGAAATGGAGAAGTGACTCTACTTCTTTAAGGATGGGGCCAACTGAACATGGAATCCTGGTAGCCAAGCAACACATTCTAAAGTCAACAGCAGCCAGTTCACTTGGAGAGCAATCTTGAAGAAGGATGTTCTCCTGTTGTATCTCAAGGTCCGAGACTCAAGTCTCAGGAAACCCCAGTGGGAGCGCTTCTTTCAAGCCTGGTGTTGATGGATCTTTGCTCACCCCTGACTCGAGCGCCTCAGGCACTACACAAATGGTATATTTGTGTAGCAAGTATATTCAGCCTAGGTAACTTACCTGACAGCCACTCCAACCAACCCTAGAACACTCCTGAGTTGGTTTTTTGTTTGTTTGTTTGTTTGCCAGTACTGGGGCCTGCTCAGCTTCTTTTTGCACAAGGCTAGCACTCTACTACTTGAGCCACAGCACCACTTTTGGCTTTTTCTGTTTATGTGGTACAGAGGAATCAAACCCAGGGCTTTATGCATGCTAGGCAAGCACTCTACCACTAAGCCATATTCCCAGCCCCACTCTTGAGTTTGTTAAGAGTAATTCTGTGCAGTTTCCATTTCATTGAATCACAGCAAGTGAATTTGAGGTGTGCTACCCTCTCCATCTTTGAGCTATCTGTTCTTGTCCCACCTCAGAATGAAAAAGCGTCAGTCCCAACCCAGGAAGAGCACCATAGAGTGAGTACCCTGGAGCCAGGCATGCTGGAGAAGATGGTCAACCTCCTGGTACCTCTCCACCAGAAGGAGGATCCCTTCTTTGTCCCTGCCTTCCTGGTTACTTACAGAAGGTTTACCACAACAGGGCAAGTGTTGGATCTTCTGTTTAAAAGGTGAGCACCCTATCTTCAAACCAAAGTGATGTTGTTATCCTCCTGGTTAAGTCCAGAAAATACCCTGTTCACTTCAGTTGGATCTTCTCAACTAAAAGTGGGATGGGAGCAGGAAGTGCTTTCCCAAGCCTCTTTCTTTGAAGTAGGCTGGCCCAGGACCATGAGTCTCTTGTAGGGGACAGTTTACTTCCTTAGAAACAGGACTCTACCATGCCTGTAATCCTAGCTACTCAGAAGGCTGAGATCTGAGGATCATGGTTCAAAGCCAGCCAGGGCAAGAAAAGTCCGTGAAACTCTTATCTCCAATAAACAGCCAGAAAACCAGAAGTGGTGTTGTAGCTCAAGTGGTAGAGCACTAGCCTTGATCTGAATCGCTGAGGGACAGTGCTCAGGCCCAGAGTTCAAGCCCCACAACCAACAAAAAACAACAACAAAAAGAAACAGGAATCTGCCTAAGGTCTTTTTTATTTGTGGCTCCATGATACTACATTGGCCATAAGTTAGCAAGGTTCCCAAACCAATCCAGGAAGCCTCACAAGAGCTGTAGCTGGAGAAAGGGCTACAGAGTAGGTATGGACTGAGGCCCGGTGTCTCCTGAGAACCATCAGGGAAGGATCATGATGGACAGCCTCCCTGCACAAACTTTGGGAAGAGACATTCCAAGTTCCTTAGCATAAAATTCAGGGAACTGTGCAGATAAATCTCCCAACCTTCCAAAATTCACATTCCTATCCTTGATTTAGCCAGCTCACATAGCTATCTTGTCAGGTCAGAAAAACAGGAGAGTAAAAAGATGACTTCCTCCTCTCTTCCCATAGATATGCATATTTCCAACCTGACTGTGAGGAGGATGAACAAATAAAGAAGTGAGTGGAATTAGTGACAAAGGGAAGGGCTCTCCTTGAAGAATGGGTTAAGTATTAGGGCTTGGTTTGGAACGTGGGAAACTCTGGGTAGCACATCACTTGTGGTGGGGCCTGAGGCTTCATCTAAAGGCATGGAAGCGTGTGGGGGGGGGGTGAAAGTCAGGGGAAGTCAGGGAACAGAGGAGAGGCTGTGAGCTAAAAGCCTTTCGGGGAAACAATCCTAGAAAGGCTTTCTGAGAAACATCCTCCAATGGGTGCTGTAGAGAGGCTTCTCCTTGGCTGGGCACCAGTGGCTCATGCCTGTAATCCTAGCTATTCTCAGGAGGCTGAGGTCTGAGGATCGTGGTTCAAAGCCACCCCAGGCAGGAAACTCTGTGGCTCAACTGGTAGAGTGCTTGCCTTGAGCAAAAGAAGCTCAGGGACAGCACCCATGCCCAGAGTTTAAGCCCCAGGACTGGCACAGAGAGAGAGAGAGAGAGAGAGAGAGGGAGGGAGGGAGGGAAGGTGGGAGGGAGGGAGGGAGTGTGTGCCAGTCTTCTCCTCATATGAGAGTCCTCCCTCTTCCCAACATGCAATTCTGTGCATGCGGTGGGCAGTCTGCATGGGACATCCCACCCCACCCCCAGCAAGGGGCTTGGGAAGAAACGAGCAGGCTGTCACTCTGCTTCTTATCCAACTGCACACAGCACCCTGTGTTCCATGCTCTCCATGTGGCTGGACAAGTACCCTGAGGATTTCTGCCAGCCCAATGACCTGACCAACCTGAATAAGATGATGGCCTATGTGCTTCTCAACATGCCCTCTGCAGACCTGGCAGTCCGTGTACACCTTCTCCTCACCCAGCTGGAGGAGCAGGAGACCAAGGAGGCAGACAAAAACAGAGAGGAGTTCTTAGGTAGGTGCCTGAGAATATGTGAGGAGGGATGGAAACAGATCTCCTATGGGATGAGAATCCCAGGCTGGTGATTGGCCAGTAACTACTAGTAAAACCCAATCAGGGAAGACATCCTGTTGTGGGTCTTCTATGACAGATAGCACCTACTCTCTAGGAAGACCTTAACTCTGCTTGAGGGTCTCCTTGCTCCCTCCATTAACAATGCATCTATTTCTGTGCTTAGATTTGGGGCTTCACACAGCACCTGCTCCTGAGATCCAGGCAGAGGATGTGTCCATGATGTCCGCAGATGTGGTACTGGAATCAGCTGCTTTACCAGCTAGCCAAGACGACCTTGTGCCTCCACAAGAATCTGCGCCTTCTAGAGTGGTGGTGCAGTATGAGTCATCTGTATAAGGTCCACAACACCTTCTGCCTCCTGTGGGCCTCCAGCAGGCTCTGGTCACCCACTTGAAATCCCTTCACTCAGAATGTGTTGGCAGGAAGGTTGGGAAGGTCTGAGACAAGTATTACTGACACAGCAAGACCCTCAGGTCAAACCACGTGGACCATCCTCAAACTGTGGCAAACTGAGGCGAACCAAATATCTTCCTACAAACCATGTCATGATGTCTCCTCGTCGTTCTGGCTCAACACACTAGTCACATAAAAATCATCTGTGCCAACCTTCCTCATTGATTTGCCTGCCACGGCCCTCAGGACAACCATACTTCCCTCCAGCTCCATCTCACCTCTGTATTGCCCTTCTGTTTGATGTCATGTGTTAAAGCAGGGCAAAGCGGCACAAAGAACTTGCTAGATAGAATTACCCAATCAGAATTGTAAAATAAATAAAACTTTTTTTTCCTGTAAGTAATCATTCAATTTTTGGTATTCTGTTATAGAAAAAAATGGCCTAAGATACTATAGTTGATGAATTGCTAGGAGCTCAAAGTTCCAGGGAATCTAGTGCCATCAGTGCCCCAGCATTTCAGCTCACCTCTGTGTGCTCTGTCAGATTGTTTCAAGTGAATATTGGAGGAAAAATGCTTTGTTGCATCTTTCAAGAGAAGGGGAAATGAAGCATTTTAAAAATATGTCAGACAATTCTGTTGTTAGCCAGCTCTTCCCTTTGGAGAAACTATCTCATAAGAGTAGGGAGCTTTCAGACACCGACAATCCACTCTCTCAGTCTCTGAACAGCAACTAGGTGTCCAGTAATGCAATTCAATTTTGACACTAACAACCTGGAGTTAATGTTAGATTCTACACTTTCAAGGGTTTACTCCCACAAGATTGCCTCCATTTAACATAACAGCTGCACATTCTCAGCCATTCATATGGCTGACTGACTCTAAGTCTGGTGTTCCCATAACCCCCACCTCAGGTTCAAATATTTGCTAGAACAGCTCATACAATTATGAGATAAACTTTATTTATATATTCTTGCTAGTTATAATGAAAGTGATCAACTTAATGAAGTACAAGAGGAAGGCCTGGAAGATTTTGACTCAGAAGCTTCTGTCCACATGGAGTTAAGTGTAACACGTTTCCAGCACAGCTCTGTGTGTGTGTGTGTGTGTGTGTGTGTGTGTGTGTGTGTGTGCTGGTATGAGGCTTGAATCCAGGGCTTCCTGTTCTCAACTTTTTCACACACAGATGATGCTGTATCACTTGAGCCACACCTCCAACATTTTCCCTGGTTAATTGGAGATAGTTTCACTGACTCTTCTACCATGATTGGCTTCAAACCGATATCCTTCAGACCTCAGCCTCTTGAGTAGCTAGGATTATAGGCATGAGCTATTGGTACCTAGATCTATTTACCACCTTGGCAACTCTCTGAATTTCATTGTTGAGCTCAATCTCCAGGTTACCTATACTCTTCTTAGAGGTTGATGGGTAGGACTGAAAGTTCTACTCTTCAATTATTTAGTCCTGAGCCCAGGCTCATTCCAAGGCTCTGTACCATTTAGGGTCTCCACTCTGCCACTTCATTAGTATAAACTCAAGTGTGATTGCAAGGGGCTCATTATAAAAATGTTAAAACCCACTCCTATCATTCAGGAAATTCCAAGGGCTATAGGAGCTCTGTGCCAGGAGATATGAACACAAGCCAAATGATTCTGGTATTATACCATACAAACCTAACCTGATAGGGTTTTACCAAAGTAATCTATTCAGGAAAAAGAAAATACCCAAGTTCAGCTGCCTGTAGATAAACTGTCACTCCTGAGGTGGTGGAAGAACCAGGAAGCATTAATGAAGCTCGCTCTCCAGGGACAGGCTCACCAAAAGACTGCAAACTAATGTTCTGTAGTCTTCAGACTACTGAATGTTTTGTATTTCCTTAGACCATCCCACACTATTGCTTAAACCTTATCTGTTTACTGGGATTTCTTTTTGTTAGTCCAACATGTCTGAATTTCAACACAATCGTAGTTTATAAAACATACTACACAGAGAAAAACAGTTTGAAGAAACAAAAAAAATGTAGCTGAACTAGAGTCAGGGGTGGCAGGATGTTAGAATTAACAGACTGAGAATTAAAAATGGATTAATGTGTAAAAGATCCTAGTACTAAAAAATATTTATTTGTGGAAATTGGAAAACTGAAGGATTAATCATCTGAACACCTTTAAAACTAAAGAGAAGCCAGGTGCCGGTGACGTAGGACGCTGAGATCTGAGGATCACGGTTCAAGCTAGCTGGAGCAGGAAAGTCCATGATAGTCTTATCTCCAATTAACCACCAGAAAACCAGAAGTGACACTGTGGCTCAAGTGGTAGAGCACTAGCCTTGAGCGGAAGAGCTTAGGGACAGTGCCCAGGCCCAGAGTTCAAG